TCAACTTTTTAAACAAAATACAATTATGAGTCCATATGTATATTTATTTTCATCTCATTTACTCATCTCTATTTAATCATAATATTTATGTCATGATTCGTGAGAATTGATAATGAAAATTATTTCTTGCCTACAAAGCATTATGCTTTTTCATATATCTCAGTTTAACCAGCTGATCCATCCACTATGTCCTATATTATACCAGAGTTTATTTGTTATAAAATGAATCACACCAATACTCTCTAAGCAAATGTAAAACCTGCGACTATATCCGCGAATCCATGAATTAAAAATTGTAAATCTTATAGACATTACACAACACCCTTACGTTCTCATTTATTTGTTTTTTTATATATCTATAATATGACTCATACTGCAACCTCTCTCTTTTTTCCCCACCCCATACCCCCCCCTCTTTTTTATTTTTCCTACACAATAATATATTATATATACGATTTTACCTCATCCTATATGAATTTCTCGTTTATTATATTGTCTCACATACTATCTCAGATCCCCCATTCTATTCACCCTTTTACCCCTGTGTTTGTGTGGTACTTATATAATTTATTATTTTACTAACACTTTTATTTTTTATTCTACTACCCTCCCCTTCTCCTACTTTTATCTATACCCTATAATTTTTTTTTTATATTTTATTTCTCCTTATTCTTTTATATTTGTTATTATTATATTATGTTTGTGGTGTTTTTGTGTGCTTGTCGTTGAAGTTGGTGTGTTGTTGTGTGTGTGTGGTGTTGTTGTTGTGTTATCTACGCTGCCCCCGACCTCCCCCCTATTGTTATTATGTTTTCTCATTCTCACACATACATTTATTTATTTATATTATTATATTGATGTGTGTGTGTCCTTGTTTCATAGCTTTATTTTCCCCCTCTCTTTTCTCCCCCATTTTTCCCCCTCCTGTGCCTTTCTTTTTTTTATTTATCCCCCCCCCCTCTGTGCGATGTTGGTGTTGTGTGTGTGTGTGGCTGTGTTTGTGGTGTGTGTGTGATGCGGTGTGGTGTGTTTGTGTGTTGCTGTGTGTGGCTTTACCTACCTTTCACTATATATCAAATAACAACTACACACACACGTACACTACACACAACTTACACACACATCACACTTACTACACCCACCCCTTTCCCTACATCTTTTATTCTATCATCATTATTCTATACCGATACCTCCCCTTATACGACCTACTATATATACTTATTTATTTTTCTATTATTACTCCCTATACATATTACATATTATTATATATTATATATCTTATTAATTATATATCTATATATCATTTATATACATACACTACATACACACACACACAAACACACACACTATGACTATTATATTATGTATTGTGTGTGTGTACTAATATATTAAATATTTTTAAATATTTCTATTATTTATTATTTTATTATATATAATTTATAATTTATATACATACTACTATATTATATATATTATTAGCATCAACGATACACACGGTCATTTATATGTATTTATATGTTATTTTTCTTTTCTACCCTACTTTTTTTTTTTTTTTTTTTTATTTATCATTTAAATTTTATCACTATATGAATCACTACTATTATGCTACTATATATCATATATCTATATCAACGACTACATTATTATACTATATATATATATACTAATTATTATATTATATTATATATATATATATTATACCCATACATACACCTATATATATCTAATATTATTATATATATGTATATATTATATATATTATCCTTTCTATTATTTAGCCTACCTATATTATTTTATAATTGTTATATTACTTATATACATACATATTATTAATGTGTATTCTATATACTCTCATACTTATATTTATATATTATTATAATATAGATAGATTAGATTAGATATGTATATATACACTACATACATACATCTACTACTACATACCTCCCTATACTATATATATACTAAATATACTATATATACTATATCACCCTATATTATAATACTATATTATATAGTAGCGTACGCGGCGTACTATGTACACACCCACCACAATATCACTGCATCTATCTCTCTAGACAAAAGCGCGGCACAAACAAAAAAGACAAGAAAGAAAAAACCACCTATTATACACGTATACCTTACGCCTACTACCTATGATTCACTTATATTTATTATACTTATATTTAATATTATATATTATCCTCATATCACTTATTTATATCTAATATTATATATTATCATTATATTATAATATTATATTAATATATATTATATATTATATTATATATATATTAGTAGTATGTATTGTTATGACTTACATATTCATTCATATACTATATACCTATAATGATACATATTTATAAATTATATATATATTATATATTATTATAGTATATATTATATATGTATTTGTATGTTATACATGCATTATATATTACTTTATACTTATATTATTATATATATTATTATTATGTAATATATATATTATATATTATATAGATATTATTATAATATATAATATTTTTTATACATATTATATTTACATATATAATGTATGCTTTATATATATTTCATCGGTATTGTTTATATATATTTACGATCTTGGTATATGCCCTACTACCATTATTTCATTACATGCACGTGTAATCTCTTCTCTTTCCCTCCTTCCTCCGTCTCCCCCCACCCTTGTTACCCCCCACCTGTTTGTTGAGAGAGATACTGCCACTGCCTATAAATTAATATTATTATCATATACCCAATGTAAATTTTATAACATATACCAGATTACTATATCTTACATACCATATATATTATGTATATATATATGTTATATATATTTATTATATTATATATATATTATATATAATATTATATTATTATATATATTATATTATAATATATATTATATATATATTATATATATTAATATTATATAATAATATATATTATATATAGTTTATAATTATATATATAATATTATATAATATATATATATATATTATATATATATTAATATATATACGATACATACATACATATATATTATTATATTATATATATATATATTATAAATTTTATTATATTTATTATATATGTATATTATATTTAATGATAAAAACCCTTTATTATTATTATTATATATCTATATAACTACTATATATCACTATACCTACTCACTAGTATATACGTATATATTACGTGATATATATTTTTTTCTTTCTTTTTTTTTTTCTTTTTTTAATAGTATGCTATTATATGTGTTGTGTGTACATATACCCTACTACTTAATTATTTATTATATATTATTATTTTATTATTATTTAATATATATATATATATTTTATATTTATATATTTATACTTATAGTATATATATATGTTGTATGATGTTATATATCTATTCTATTATCATATCTATAATATTATATATATATTATATATATATATATATTATACATTTATATTATATGTATTGTTCTACTATTCATTATACCATATAATGATATTAATATTATTATTATTATTCCCTACCATAGTATATCACTATACCTACCCTACTAATCATATGTCATACCTATCATATGTTATGCTATGTTATATTATATATTCCCCTACCCTACTATACCTATTATACATACCTATTTTTATATTATATACTATTATATATATATTAGTATCCGTTACCCCTACTATATACTATAATTATATATATATTCATATATTAGTAATTATACTTAATATATATATATAGAATAATATACTATTAATTATTTTGCGTGTGTGTGTGTGTGATTATTATATATATTATTGTTTTTTATATAATATATATTTATTATATAATAATATATATATACTACTTATATATATTATATATTTATTATATACACACACACACATATTATTATATATTTTTGTGGTGTTTGTACTGTGGTGTGTGTATCTGTGTGTATGTCTATAAATTTTATTATTTTATTATGATTATATAATTATTTCATAGATATTATAATTTTATATACTATATATACATCTACCTATATATATATATCCTATACCTATACCACACTATATATATATATGCTGTGTGTGTCCGTGCTGCGTGTGTCGTGTCGTGCTGCCCCTGTGTGTGTGTGCTGCGTGTGTGCCTGATGTTCTGATTATATATATATAATGTTACACACACACACACTACAAGCACACTACATCACACGTATTTATCACACACACACACACACACACACACACACACACACACACACCACCACCACACACACACACAACACACACACAATATATATTATATATTATATATATACATGTATATACATATATATGTATACACACACCACACACACACACACACACACACACACACACACACATTATATATATATATATATATATATATATATATATATAGTAATGTCTGTATATATAACATATATATATACAATTCGTATATATACATATATATGTATATATACATGCATATATCTTTATATATATGCGTGTGTTTGTGTATTTTTAATGTTTTACATTTTTATCATGGATTCGATTAGTCCAGGTTTTACATTTGCTTAAATGTATTGTTTGATTATTTTTCCATATCTGTTTTGGCATATGGATGTCATTGGTAAAATATATGAAACATAATGCTTTGTACAAATAACTTTTTTCAATTCTCTCTATGCCTATTTATGATTAATGATGGTTGTTGGTAAATTATTACATCATATTGTATTTTGTTTAAAAATTCTTTATTGGTGATACATGTCACTTCATGAATATCTATATACATATAAGGTAAGATTGTCAAAATTGTTGAGCCTAGGAATGTTTAGGCACAGTTTCACATTCTTGGTAATTGTTTAATATTATTTGGAATGGTTTTGTTCATGTCATATTGTATAATGGTTTCGATCTGACTAGATGCCGTGAATGTAGTTAGTAAATTACACATAAATACACATCAGTGTCTTCAAACAAATCACGGAATTTATGCAAACACGGAGAAGAATGACGAGTCGGTTCTAAGATGGAAACGCGTGCTTGCCAAGTGAGCGAAGTCGTAGCCGTAAGCCAGCTCGTAAGGTGCCTTTGTTCTCAGAGAGTAGTATCCGTCATACGACTCTTCGTTCACCGTCACGCCAGCAGACAACTTCTGAGAGAAAGAGTCGCTGCCATAATCTGCGGTAAAACCGTAGCGGTTGTGAGGGAGAGTCAGCATCACCTTGGAGCAAACCTGTACAGGGGAACCTTCATTTGGGCTTCGATCCTCTCGAAGTCTTCGATGGGAGTTTCAACAACCAAGTTGGCTGCCACGGCATCCTCGGTGTTTCCAAACTGAAGTTCTGCCTTAAACTTGAGAGGCTTGTCGGCATACACGGAAATGTTGGTCACCTCATCTTTAAGGTAGCGGGCACCGAAGTTCATCTTCTTGTAACCCTTGAATGGCGTAAGAATCTTGAGGTTGGTATTGACATTCTTGAAGATTCGATCTTAACGTTGAGGATTCCAGAGATGATGTGTCTTCAGCATTCTTCAATGCCATCTTCATTTGCATGTTCTTTGTATTTCCTGTGAGCATAGCTTCAGCTTCAGCCATTCCTGTTGGAACATATGGAGATTCCACAATGCTGATGAACTTCCTGTTTTCCTTGTCCAAATTGAACCGGAAGGAATTGACAGTGTTGGCAAAGTTGGCTGCGATATACATCTCAACATTGTTCTGGAAGTTGAGTGAGGCATCAAGTGTAACTTTGTTGATATTTTCAAAAGGTGTGTCAATCATGAGAGACAATTCACCTCCATAGTTAGACACTGAGGTCCTTGCCTCAAGAGCGTGCTTTATGCTTCCTGTTTGCAGCTCAGCCTTGATGTGTTTACTTCCAAGGTTAACACTGAAGAGGTAGTTCTCAGGCAGTAATGGAGAATCAGCTCGAGGAAGCAATCCAGTCGACGGCATTCTACGAGCTGGCGCCAGCTAAGCTGAACCTTGTGTGTTCCTTTGGGGGTCTCAATGGTGATTCCAGCAACAGCAGGGGCTACTTGCAGGGTAGTGGTAACTTTCGGGAAGACGGGTGTATCAATCTTTACAGTAGCTTGAAGCCCAGTTCTTAGATCCAAATCCAGGTAGAAGGAGTGAGGGTCACTGCTAGTGAAGACGATATTAAATGAGACTTGCTTATAGGAAGCAGTTGGCATGAAAACATCGAAGACCAGTTTCCGTGGCCCCTCAATAAGATCAGATTCCAAATCCATAGCTCCTTGGATGCGATTGTTAACGATGTTCAGGCTTCCACTAAACCATGTGCTTTTCACCTTCCAGAGTAACAGCAACTACACCCTGGAAGTTCTCCAGAGATGGATACTTAGCTTCAATGGAGAACTGGCGTTCCTTGCCAAAAATGACTGTTCTTACGTCAAATTTGAAGGTGGATTGAGCCAAAGTGTAATGTGCGTTAATCTTGTTGTCATTGACAGTCAAGTCGGCCTCTACATTTCCAGTACTGAGGCCCTGAAGATTAAGGCTTAGCTGAATGGTATTATACAACCTTGTTGACTGAAGGAAGGCTTCTCCAGACACTTTGTCAGCACTGAGCTGGTATTTCAGTTTAAGGTCGTGTGTGGCAAAAGGTGCATCAATTTTTACTTCCATGTCGAGGAAGGACAATGCCTGCATCTTAATGTCACCGGTCAATACAACATGTGATACAGCATGGAATGGTGTATAGAATTCAAGTGAGCCTGTATAACCTTGAGAAATGGAGGAACCAGCAAGATTGCACTTGAGGGTGAATTCCTCTCCAGCTACATCAAGGGTGACATATCCATTGATCTTCTTTTTAAGGTCTAGGCTAATCTCCCCAGTAATCGTTGGTGTTGTGTAGGAAGGAAGATGTAGTTCAGCATGGGCCATGATTTTCTTGTTTTGATTAGACCAGGTGAATAGGCCACCCATCTTTTCCATGCCATGGAATGGAGTGTGGATGATAAGTTTACCCTCAGAATAGCGCTTTCCTTCAGACTGGAACAAGGTGTCAATAAGGAATCTCTTACCAAATACTTCTCCTTCCAGCTGTACACCACGTGCAGTATCTTCGTTCTTGAAGCCTCCTCGCAGTTTCAGGTTATAATCATCAAGACCAGCTTCAGCATAGAAGCCATCAGGGGCCACTGATCGACGACACGCAGGGAATGGTCACCAAGCACAGCAGATGACAGGCGAGCCTTGATACCTTCTGAATCGAGGAAGAATGTTGCCTCCACTTCTTGTCCGTTCTCGTTTAAGTCAATCTCAACCTTAATCTGGAGGTGATTATCACCTGGGAAGCTGTAATCCACATCATATTCCACTCCTTCATACCTATGGAGGAATATCAACCTTGCCTGAAAATCAGAGAGGAAGTTGTTTCTTGCCTTACAGGAAAGTGATCTCTTTTGCTCTCCATAACCAATGAAACATGTGAAATGCACGTTCTGCGAGGGCGGAACGCCACACACAACATTTCGCACTTCACGACTTTAACTGATTCGAAGGACAGAAAACAGCATTTAAGACAGAGTGCTGGAGTGCATAAGAAGTGAAAGAGGCTGTAGTGAAAGAACTCAATTATGTTTCGCGAAATTCTAAGACTTCACTTTGATAAGAGAATGGAAGTCGCGGAAGAAAAAATTAGATGGAACATAAGCTAACAAAGAAACTTATAAGTCCATTCTCAGGAGAATATGATTAGCTTACACACCGGAGATTGCTTATCACTTGCCTCCGTCCTGAGTATTCCAGTTCAGAATCTAAATTGAGATGGAACATTTTGAGCACTGCAAAGGAAGGAAGTGCCATGAATCATGAACATAGAGTCTGGTCATCATTGCGGAAGCCGTGAAGACTGAAGTCCATTGAGTTACCTTCAAATTCAAAGTGAAAGACTAGCTAGTCCTTCTCCTCATCTCCTGTACCAGCAATAAAGTCCTGTACATCATATGAGGCAGCTATCCTGATATTTTGTCCACTAGGTGGTGTGAATGAAATGTCAAAGGAAGCTTTACTGGACTTGATGTTGGCCTTTTCCATTAAAGTTCATTTGAATATCGTTTCTCTGGTAATTAAATTTGAGCCACTTTATTTTCATACTGACCGTCAATATGAAGGTTTTTCCACTTCAAAAGGTGTAGTGAGATCAACTTTAAAGGAGCTCCTTTTTTACCCTTCATGCTCATTTCCATATGAGACTGACTTTCCTATCTCCCCGTTGATATGTTGCTTGAACTGACTTGTCCTTACCAGTAAGCTTATACTGCAGGTCAATCTCTAGTGTTTCAAATCCTTCAAATGGTGTGGTAAGTATTCCTAAAATCTTGGTTTTGCGAACTTCGAGGGTAAGGCTAATTTTCTTGTCATTCCAATCCAACCCAGATAACAATTTGAAATTGTTTTACCATACTCAGCATTGCATATGCACGGGCATGTGACAGAGTCTCAAAATGGAGTCAAAGAATCATTTCATTTTCAAGAACGACAAACAGATGGTGATAAGAAGGGAATTTAAGCTCAACTGGACTAGGAAATCCACTGATGACCATCTTGAAAATGAAATGATCTTTGACTCCAACTTTGAGACTCTGTCACATGCCCGTGCATATGCCAATGCTGAGTATGGTAACAATTTCAAATTGTTATCTGGGTTGGATTGGAATGACAAGAAAATTAGCCTTACCCTCGAAGTTCGCAAAACCAAGATTTCAGGAATACTTACCACACCATTTGAAGGATTTGAAACACTAGAGATTGACCTGCAGTATAAGCTTACTGGTAAGGACAAGTCAGTTCAAGCAACATATCAACGGGGAGATAGGAAAGTCAGTCTCAATATGGAAATGAGCATGAAGGGTAAAAAAGGAGGCTCCTTTAAAGTTGATCTCACTACACCTTTTGAAGTGGTGAAAAACCTTCATATTGACGGTCAGTATGAAAATAAAGTGGCTCAAATTAATTACCAGAGAAACGATATTCAAATGAACTTCAATGGAAAGGCCAACATCAAGTCCAGTAAAGCTTCCTTTGACATTTCATTCACACCACCTAGTGGACAAAATATCAGGATAGCTGCCTCATATGATGTACAGGACTTTATTGCTGGTACAGGAGATGAGGAGAAGGAACTAGCTAGTCTTTCACTTGAATTTGAAGGTAACTCAATGGACTTCAGTCTTCACGGCTTCCGTAATGATGACAGACTCTATGTCATGATTCATGGCACTTCCTCCTTTGCAGTGCTCAAAATGTTCCATCTCAAATTAGATTCTGAACTGAATACTCAGGAACGGGATGGCACTTTTGAACTCACTTTCAATGATTTTAAATTCAATGTAAGCAATCATTTTGAGAGACGAGCAAATAATGGTTATTACTTTAGAAGCAAGATTGAGTCTACACTCACTCCACTCCCAGCACTGATCATTGGTCTTGGCCGTGAAGGTGAAGAACGCATCATAACCATTGGTTATGGAGAGGACAAAGAGATCACTTTCTCTGTAGAAGGCAAGAACAACTTCCTTTCTGGATTTTCGGCAAGGTTGATATTCCCTCCATAGGTTATGAAGGAGTGGAATATGATGTGGATTACAGCTTCCCAGGTGATAATCACCTCCAGATTAAGGTTGAGATTGACTTAAACGAGAACGGACAAGAAGTGGAGGCAACATTCTTCCTCGATTCAGAAGGTATCAAGGCTCGCCTGTCATCTGCTGTGCTTGGTGACCATTCCCTGCGTGTCCGTCGATCAGTGTCCCCTGATGGCTTCTATGCTGAAGCTGGTCTTGATGATTACAACCTGAAACTGCGAGGAGGCTTCAAGAACGAAGATACTGCACGTGGTGTACAACTGGAAGGAGAAGTATTTGGTAAGAGATTCCTTATTGACACCTTGTTCCAGTCTGAAGGAAAGCGCTATTCTGAGGGTAAACTTATCATCCACACTCCATTCCATGGCATGGAAAAGATGGGTGGCCTATTCACCTGGTCTAATCAAAACAAGAAAATCATGGCCCATGCTGAACTACATCTTCCTTCCTACACAACACCAACGATTACTGGGGAGATTAGCCTAGACCTTAAAAAGAAGATCAATGGATATGTCACCCTTGATGTAGCTGGAGAGGAATTCACCCTCAAGTGCAATCTTGCTGGTTCCTCCATTTCTCAAGGTTATACAGGCTCACTTGAATTCTATACACCATTCCATGCTGTATCACATGTTGTATTGACCGGTGACATTAAGATGCAGGCATTGTCCTTCCTTGACATGGAAGTAAAAATTGATGCACCTTTTGCCACACACGACCTTAAACTGAAATACCAGCTCAGTGCTGACAAAGTGTCTGGAGAAGCCTTCATTCAGTCAACAAGGTTGTATAATACCATTCAGCTAAGCCTTAATCTTCAGGGCCTCAGTACTGGAAATGTAGAGGCCGACTTGACCGTCAATGACAACAAGATTAACGCACATTACACTTTGGCTCAATCCACCTTCAAATTTGACGTAAGAACAGTCATTTTTGGCAAGGAACGCCAGTTCTCCATTGAAGCTAAGTATCCATCTCTGGAGAACCTCCAGGGTGTAGTTGCTGTTACTCTGGAAGGTGAAAAGCACATGGTTAGTGGAAGCCTGAACATCGTTAACAATCGCATCCAAGGAGCTATGGATTTGGAATCTGATCTTATTGAGGGGCCACGGAAACTGGTCTTCGATGTTTCATGCCAACTGCTTCCTATAAGCAAGTCTCATTTAATATCGTCTTCACTAGCAGTGACCCTCACTCCTTCTACCTGGATTTGGATCTAAGAACTGGGCTTCAAGCTACTGTAAAGATTGATACACCCGTCTTCCCGAAAGTTACCACTACCCTGCAAGTAGCCCCTGCTGTTGCTGGAATCACCATTGAGACCCCCAAAGGAACACACAAGGTTCAGCTTAGCTGGCGCCAGACTCGTAGAATGCCGTCTGACTGGATTGCTTCCCTCGAGCTGATCTCTCCATTACTGCCTGAGAACTACCTCTTCAGTGTTAACCTTGGAAGTAAACACATCAAGGCTGAGCTGCAAACAGGAAGCATAAAGCACGCTCTTGAGGCAAGGACCTCAGTGTCTAACTATGGAGGTGAATTGTCTCTCATGATTGACACACCTTTTGAAAATATCAACAAAGTTACACTTGATGCCTCACTCAACTTCCAGAACAATGTTGAGATGTATATCGCAGCCAACTTTGCCAACACTGTCAATTCCTTCCGGTTCAATTTGGACAAGGAAAACAGGAAGTTCGTCAGCATTGTGGAATCTCCATACGTTCCAACAGGAATGGCTGAAGCTGAAGCTATGCTCACAGGAAATACAAAGAACATGCAAATGAAGATGGCATTGAAGAATGCTGAAGACACCATCTCTGGAATCCTCAACGTTAAGATCGAATCTTCACAG